GCTATTAGCATAGCATTCATGTTCAGTAATAGCTATTAATATAGCATTCATGTTCAGTAATAGCCAATTTTAAATACTATTCAAATGCTAAATCTTTATTCTTTTCTACACCTATTCTGTTCTGATAACAGAAACCAACACTATACATTCCATAATAATCACCATATTTAGCACTTTTTAAATAATATTTAAAAGCATTTTGTTCATCCTTTTCAACTCTAATTCCATGTTCATAACAATAACCAAGGTTACATATCACCCTTGGGTCACCCATTTCTCCTGATTTTTGAAAATAGATGAATACCTTTTGTTCATCATTTTTAACTTCAATTCTATTAAGATAATAAGATCCAACATAAACTGTTCTAATTCTGTTTCTCATCTTTGTGAATTGTTGATAATAAATACATGACTTATGTTCATCTTTTTTAACTTCAAAACAACCTCCAACAATTTTTCGATAAAGAATACCTGCCTTTCCAGATTTTTCATTATAAATAAAATACATATAATTATATTCAGACTCAGACCAGTCTGCAGACTTTGGACCAGACCCAGACTGAACTCATAGTTGAGTTTGAGTTTAGTCTGAAGTCTAAAATTAGTAAAATTTGAAGTCTGAGTCTGGTCTGATCCCGAACCAGACCCAGACCAGACCAGACACAGACCAGACCTAGGAGCACTATCTGGTGGTGAGTTTTTTAATGTAAGGTCCTGTAACATTGCATCTACTCGCTCTTGATTGATGTATATAATTCTTTGTCTTTTGCGATTAGATCACCAGCATATTTTCTAAGTGTATATACTTCAGATATTTGTTTATTTTTCTGTTTGTTTGTTTTCTCGGGTGTTTCTAATATTGTTGCTTTAGTATTAGAATGTTTTATTATTATTTTAAATATTTCTTGTGGTAATTGTTCATTTAGCAAAGGGGCATGTATATCTTGTCCACTTCTAAATACTATGGGTTTCATAGTTGTTCATGTTCCACTTTGTTGTTGGAATTTTCTTTCTTTCATTACATTGTTTATATATATTAAATGGATTTCTTTTCCATTTTTGTCTAAAACTTCTTTACAGTCTTCTATAAATCTGCCAGCTCTTGCGGCAAAGTAGTGTTGTGTGTCAAAGCATAATTTGATTCGTGGGTACCACTGTGCTTTGTCATCTTCAAAATATTGTAATTCTTTTTTAATGCTTTTCTTTATTAATATAAGCTCTTCTATATTAGCTCCATAGCATTTATTTGATGCAGAGTTTTCCAGTAATATTATTACTTTGGTTTTTTGTGTTTTTCTAAGTATTTCCTTGAGGTTTAGTTTTATTTGTATTTTTTCTCTTGCATCTTTATCTGTATTTGATACGCCTATATGTAATATATATACTTTACTTCTTATTTGTTTTGCGTGCTTTATTTCTTCTATTATTCTGGTTATTTTCTAGTTATATTTACCATTGTACTGTAGTTTGTCATTTATCGATAATTCCATGCTTGCATATATTACAATTTTTAATTCTGGTATATCATTTTCATATCTTTCGAGTAATTTGATTAATTTATAATCATTCGTTAGGTTAGGCTTGCCTTCTTTTAATGTTATAAAATTTTTCATATTTTCATCTGAATAAAATTGTTGAGTTGGTATGTAAGTCATGAATGTCTGTATTATATTACTTCCAGTAGTTATTACTGCTTGTATTATTTGTTCAGCATTGCCATCACATGTTATTCCTATATATTTTCTTCTTTTTAGATTTAGTCTGCACTGTCTAAGAAATATATTATACATGTTGTTTTCTGAAGCTAATTTATTGTGCTCAGGTTCTTTTTTGATGTTAAAAGGGTTTAATTCTTTGAAGGTTTCAGTTCTCTTTTTACATACTTACATACTATTGCGTCTTATCACCATTTTTTTTTGGTGGTTGCAGAGATTATTTTTAGTACTGTTTAATCAGGGTTGTCTCTTCTCAGTGTTTTTTATAATGTTGTTCATATTTTGAAGATTATTTTAAACATTGCTTGGTTGGGATTGTCTTTTATTAGTGTTTTTTACAATGTTGGTATAATTGTTTGTAGTTCTTTCCCTACTTGGGTCTGGTATAGTTGAGTTTTTTAGAACGTTGGGCGCCTTATCACTGTTTTTTTTTGCTTTTTATTTCGCTCAGCAGGATAAGCAAAAGACAGAACATGATCATTTGTACTCAGCATTTTCTCAGGCTTAGAGGTCTTGACCTTTGAGTGGGTTAGCTTTGATGGTGGATCCTATATTAGCACTGAAGTTGGCTACATGTTCTTGTTGGTCGAAGTTACTTCGCTCGAGTGGGCTGTTATGTACAATCATTTTCCTGATGTTAACTTCTGTTGGTTGTGTATAAGTTTTCTATGAATAAAGATTTGGTCTGTTTTATAATCTTTTAGTATTCCAAGTTGTTTTTGTAATTTATTAAAGAGTATTATATATTCGAAGTCTATACTGAGTATATCTATTTTTATATTTTTGAACAGATAATTATTTATTTTTATATCTACAATTGCTTTTTTTAATAGTTTGACTTGTGATCCTACTGTG